CCCTGCCCCCTGTTTGTTCCCCCAGCTCCCCGCTGGCTCTCCCAGCCCCCCCCCAACACTCACCAGCAGTAGCAGAGAAGGAGTAGGAGGCTAGAGAGAGCTGGGGAATATCTCCAGCTCATTTCTAGGGGCCTGTCTCCAGCCTCCTGCTGGTCTCCAGCCCCCTACTCATTCCCCTGCTCATCTCCAGCCTCGGGAGGCTGGAGAAAGCAGGGCAATGAGCAGGAGGCTGGAGACAGCCCCTGGAGGCATTCCCCTGCTCTCTCCAGCCTCCTGCTCATTCCCCTGCTCGACTCCAGCCTCCCGAGGGGGTACAGCGAGGGGATACTAAGGGGTGTGTTCTATGCACCATCAATTGAAATCAATGCTATATGCGTCTTATCAAATTTTGGGGTGGGGGGGGGAGATGTTTCAGCTACAAAGGACTTTCAGAAGGCTAAAAGGTAAAACAGCACTGCACATTAATGTAGATATCTAACGGGACACAGCCCCAACATTTATTTTCTGAGTATCAATGGAAGACTTTCCTCTCCTTTTTCACATAAGGCAAGAATTCAAGAAGTTGGCACACAAGCAGAAAAGGTGTTGTACGCTTTAATGTCTTAAATCTGAAATACAAGCATTCTGCCATTCCTAAATTACACTTACTTCACAGGCAGGGGAAAAAAACCTGCCCAGAATTTTAGAAAATTTAGCTCCAACAGCATAGATTTCAAAGTAAATTGTGTAATGAAAAACTGTTCCAGATATAACTTAAAACTAAAGTAGAATTACATTATACCAGACATAATAAAGATGAAACTTTAAATAACTCGTTAATTAATAACAGCAGGCTAGTCTTTGTTATGAAAAATGACCACCCCTGGATGCATAATAGCAACAGACAAAAAAACCAAACAAACTACTTTATGCATAATACAGTATTTTCAAACACATGCAAATCACTATTAATTCAACAGAATAACATCAACATACTTTTCTACCATAGTACCAATGTTTCTGCAGGCTTCTTCAGCAGCCTCTCTGAATGTATAATCAGGATGGGCAATCTTCACAAAGTCAGCCTGACATCAAAATAAAATAAAAGAAGGGTCTTAATTTGAAATCTTAAATTTAAGCGAGTATTCAAAGGAGTTTCATTTAGCATAACACACATTTATGCTATTACCTGCAATATTTTTCTCACTGAGCAATTTGGCATAACTCTGCTTTCTCATAACAAATCTGTTGAGAATGTGTTGACAGCTATTAATTGCTACAGAATAATTTCAATCCAAAGAAAATATTTTCCAACTTTTTATTATTATTTTCAATTAGGTAAGTGCTTTAGAGAAAATTTCTTTTCCTAATAAGTATCACTCTCAAGAAGCCAAGGCTTTTGAATCTTACTGCTAAGAAAACACTTATTTTTTTAACCAGTCCTCGTTAAAAAAAACCCCAAACGTGTAGTTTTACTGTTTTTCTAAAATGTACTAGCTTATATTTTAAGAACTCTTAAGTTGTGCTGTTTTAAAGTAAAATGCTAGCTTGCAAAAAAGGACATTCCGTACATAATGTATAACTTCATGATAAAACTTTAGTTACCCAAGAATTGACAGAACCTACAGCGAGAGATTAATATTTGCAGAGGAATAGACTAATGGAACAGATCTTCTTGGAAAAGATATCATGTAAGATTTAAAAATCAACTGAGCCTTTCAATAAAACAGGAAATCTGAAAAGAACCAATGTGATAGATTTCACTAAAACCTCAATCCTGCAAGCACTTAAACACAGATCTAATTTCACCTTGGGAAAAGTTTCCCTGAAGTCCATAAGATCAACTATATGCATGCCTTCAGGATCAGGGTCTAGTGGCCTACTTGGCAAGGCAACACCCCAGAAGTAGAAGCTTGTGAGTGATTGATGCCACTGAGCCTCCTGAGCCATGCCCAGATGAGACTACATTAACCAGAAATGTCTGGTTATGTGCAATGAGTAGGGACCTACTGAAATTGCAAAATCTGGCATTGCCTGCAAAAGCTGGCAATGTCTGTGAAATCCATGAGGGAAAAAAAAAAAGAGAAAACTTGCTGTAAATAAAATGCTGGCTCCCCAGAGGTATTGTGGCCTGGCTGCATAGACCACGGGGGAGGTGGGGAGAAAGGGGGAGCCACTCCTGCCTGACATAAGGCCCTGCCCCCTCCACCAATCAGCAGTAAGGGGCGGAGCCACATGACAGACAGCTTTTGCGACCAATCAACAGAGAGGGGCAGGGCCACTGGGGCTCCTCAGCCAATCAGTCCACGAATATGGCGGCCGGTCCTGCAATCTCCCCACGAAATCAGCTGGCCGCCTCCTTGAGTTAGCTAGACCCCCTAGCAATGAGATTTTTCTTATGTTTCTTGTTATATATAAACTTGCAGTCTGCTCTTTGTTCAATTTAACTTTCACACTTTCCAGGAGCCAGTTACTCAAGGTCTGGACTACGCTGTTTACCTATGCTTAAGCCAAATGTTTATCATCTTTTGTTATTTCAGATTATGTGTGATAATACTGTTAGTTTCCCAAACAGCTTCTATAACCTTAAACAACTTTTCTGCACAAGACAACCACAAAAAACCTGTTAAACACGTTATGCAATGCTCTAGTTTATTTTCATTCAAAGTTATTTGTAAGAATGGTATTTTAAAGAAAATAATATATTATTTCTATTAAGAAGAAAAAACTAAAATGGGTACAGATAATCATATATACTGTGCTTTAAGTGTGGAATCAAGTGAATTCAATAGCTGGGGAATTTTATATGTACTTTGCTGCTGAATTCAAAGTGTAATTGATGTTAAAGAATTATATGAGTTTAAAATAGATATATTAAAATTTTTCAATTAAATTTTAAGTTTCTTAATCTGAAGAGTAAGATACTTGTGTGTTTAACCAGATGTTTTCTAATAGGAAGGGTAGACAGAGGAGAGCCATGCTCAGTTTTACTCCTATGGAAGTCAAGGTTAAAACACAGAATGGTGTCAGTGGGACCAGATTTAGGTCCCATTTGTGAGGTCTTGGATATACAGGCAGAAATAATTGGACTGGCGTTTTATGTAAATCTAAGTTAATATCACAAGCGGGATATAACACACCTTTAGATTTTGTTCAGGCCCTAGAGATCATGCAACAAACACACAATATAACCTGAAAAAATACATCATGAACTACAGCAATAAATCACACACCAACGGAAAAAGTTAATACTAATGATGTAAACATTCAAAACATTCCAAAAATATATTAAAACAACACATCATAAAATTTCCTTTGCAGGAGACTTCACAGTCTATAAATTTAACTCAGAAGAGCTCTTTAAAAAAAAATTACTACCATAAGAAAAGTAAAGTTCAACCTCCTAAAGCTAATACATATTTAAATAACAAGAAACTCTTACTTCAATAACTTAATTGCAAACGATCAACTTTGGAAACATAATATGGTACATTAAAAATTATGTTTGTGCTACTTAAAGTATCCATGCTTCATTAGGCTTAAAAATGGACAATTTATATTATCTGAAGTTGGGTTTTGTGATTTTAAAAAAATTATATATACACACACACACATTATATATATACGCACATACATACATATATATATATATAAATATATAGAGGGTGAGGGAGGAGAGACACTACAGCAGTGCTGTGCATCTTCTAAGCAGCTAGGCGCTACATGCCCACAAGCTGCACCAGGGTGAGCCACCGACTGTCCATAAACTGTGCAACATGTGGATACCCAGCAGACCCCTGACTGCAGCGTGCACCCATGCCCACTCCCAACCAGTGGCAAAATGGGAACCCAGGGGCCACAACTTAACTTTTGCAGGTCGCATGCAACCCACAGAGAGCCAGCTGGATAGTGCTGGACTACAGAATAACAAAAGGAAATACAATCTTTTGAGATCTCATAAATCAAAGCAGTATTAGTCTTCAATATACTAAAAACGGATGATCTCTAAGAATAACCTAAGATACTACAAGCATGGCATTGATGTTAAAGCTCCTAGCAGTCTTACCTGCCCACCAGAACTGAATTAACTGCTCAACAGAGTAAGGAGCACTGTTCAAAAAACCAGTGTGATCTAACCCCATTTACAAGAGATCATTTCCAACTTGAAAAACAAACAAAAAACCCAAACAAAAACCCCTCACCAAGTCTGCCACTCTACACAACGCATCTGACAGCTGATCAAAAATCATCACTATTTCAGGTCCAGGAGGTGTAGTATATGCTTTCCGGACCAGTCGCTCTGTTTCTTGCAGTGCTTTCTCCTGTGCTTCTTGAAATCCTTCTGGACAGCTTAATTCTGGAACACCAAAGAGACCCTAGAATACAGAGAATAAATGCAACCAACAGTCAAAGTTAACAATGTTATTTTATTTTTAAAGGCGCACTAATACATCAGTCCATATCATATCAGCACCGATAAAAGGAAAATTGACATTACTGGCAATTGGCTTTTTTTGGCTGATATAGCTGATAATATTGCCAATAAATGCTACGCGCGTGCACGCAGACGCAGAATGCACGCAGGCAGGAGTGCAGCCCAGCAGCTTGGAGAGGAGTGTCCAGCTGGTAAGTGGGGGTGGGGGGCAGGGGCAGGCGCTGTACAGCTGGGATGAGGTGTGGCACGGGACAGAGCCATGGCTTGTCTGAAGGGCACAGCGGGGGGCAGGAAGGAGGTGTGGGGGGGGCGTCCCGCCACTGCATGCACCCCCAGAGGAGGCATGGGAGGCACATGCCCCCCAGATCTGTGTGCAGGGCGAAGGTGGGCTGTCCACTTGGCGCTCAGGGCCAGGGGCTGTACCAGGCACTTCCTGGAGAGGGGGCTGGGCTGGGGCTGTGCTGGGGGTGGACAGAGCAGGTGGTTACAGCGCTGGGAAGCACGGTTACAGGGGGGCTATGGCGAATTTTGGGGTGGCTATAGCCTACCCCATAGCCCAAGCACTACCACTGTCCACCCTGCCCCCACCCATTCCAAGTGCAGCCCTGGTCCAGATCCCCAGCCAAGAAGATGTTGCCACAGCCAGCAGCCCACCCACACACAGATCTGGGGGGCACATGCTGCCCATGCTTCCCCCAGAGGTGAGTGCAGCAGTAGGAACCACCCTCCCTACCCCCCAAACGAGCTACAGCTCCATTTGCACCCCACCCCACCTGTGCAGCCCCTGCCTCAGCCCTACCCCCTCCCTCACTGCAGGTGTTTCAATCTGCCCTTCCCCCCCACAACAGATTTACCAGCCGGACACTGCTCTCCAAGCTGCCAGGCTGCATATTGGGAATCGGATCAGTATCAGCCAACATGGCTGATTAATAATCGGCCACTGGTATCGGCCCACAAAATCTTTATTGGTGCACCCTTATTTTTAATCTCACTCTGCTTCAGAATTACACCAAAGACTGTCAAAAATCAGAAAAAACAACTTGACAAAACTCTGCTACTTCCCTTAATCAAAATACAGAAGTAATTTGTGCATTAACTATATAAAACTTACTTTGGATTCTTCTTTAATGTTTAAGAATAATTGGTTATGATTTTCACATTACTTGTGCTTTTATGCTTATGGGCTCAACAAATTATTAAACACTATCACACTTTAAATCACAGTCAGCAATCATAAACACATTCATATCATAAGGTTTGTATCACAGAACAGAATCAACATTTTGAAGAATATGTAAATTGATGTAGGAAGCCAAGCTTCATTTAAGAAAATGATTTAGGAACTTGGGACCCTAACAGCTTGTTTCCACTAGAAAGTTTTACCAGCCAAAGTTCTGGCTATATACTGATGCTAAAATGGTGGTTTTGTTTTTTGTCTTTTTGAAAGTCAGCTGCAGCCTGCCCTCGCAGTATCCCACTGTATCACCAGAAATCATGTAGCACTGTGGACAGGCATCCTAATTTCCCCTCACACTACCTTACAGAAAATTTTTGCTAGCACACCATTCAGAGTTGTGGAAATTTGCTGCCCTCCTTTGCCCACTAGTAAACTTGCCACAGCTGCTTTCTGCTTTGCTTAGCATCTGCCTTCATTCCTATTACATCCTAGCACCCACATTTCTTTCACATGGTTGGATTATGCATTTTTTTCCTGTGGATATTCCACAGCTGTGCAGGCACAGCTCCTCCCCAAAAGACAGAAAATCCATGAACTGTCTCCTAGACCAGTGTTTCTCAACCCATGAGCCACAACCCAAAAGTGGGTCGCAAGAATATATAAAAAGGTCACAAACAAACTTTAGTAATGGATCACAAAACCTGAAAAAAATGGAGAAAAACGTGGGAAACCATGGCTTTCCCCTTGCAGACTGGCAGAGTTCAAACCTGCAAGGGGCTGCTTGGGCTCCCTGCCCCACACACTGGTGGACTGGGGCCTGGAGGCTAGGGACAGAGGGTCAGGAGTAAGGGGTACTGGGTCAAGACTGGCCATTGGTGTTTACAAATGGGTCCTGGTACAAAAAAGGTTGAGAATCAGTGTCTTAGACTATGCAGAAGCACAGGCTTTACCTGGAGTCTTACTTAGAGCCATATCTGTAAAGACATGCTTGAAAAGGTAGACTAGAAGGGAAAAGAGATAATCCTAAAACAAACAGTGGAGTTTAAAGAGAGCAAGCTTCTGCTCTTTGTTACCCTTTGGCAGTAGAGTTTTAAAAATATCACCAACAGTCACAACTGCAAAGACAGATCCATTGTGGACTTGTTCCTAGAGGACTGGTTGCACTGGCAGAAGTACTTCTGAATCTATGGAGATGTGCTAGCAAAACTGTACCAGTAGCACTTACCGCTGGCTCATGTTAATCAGGAAACTTCAAATGTTTATTAGAAGGGATCAGAATTGACTATAGTCACATGCAAGAAAGAAGATGAGTTTTACTGATAAAACTTAGTGTTAAAATAGTGTAGCGCACTGCTTTACCATGTGTGCAGGGGCTAACATACCGCAGCATTAGTAGCAGTGTGAATTTGGTTTAAATCAAATTGATTTAAATCACTGGTCAGGAAGCCTCGATTTTGACACTGTTTTCTACAAAAAGTGCATTCTTGTTGTTTATTCATTGAATTTCTTGAAATTCTGCACTTTTAGAAAGAGGTAAGGGATCAACTGTGTGCACATAAACTTGCAGGGACAATTGGGCTGATGGGTGGGTAATCAGGTCTATTATCTCTCATCTCCATATACTGCTGTTAACAAGGATGCTATCTCTGGAGACAACAAACTCTCCCTATGCCTGAAGAAGGGCATCTGTGCCTGAAAGCCTGCAAAGAACAATTTTTCCAACTATTTAGTTGGTCTACTAAAAGACATCACATCTACCCAAAGAACCTTGCCTGTTGATCTCTGGAGACTCAAATCCACAGTTTGAGAACTGAAACTAAGCATCACAGAGATGCTTAATGGGATCTTCTAGACTGAGCATTGAGTCCCACTGGGTAGAGTGGTTTTCTTCAATCTTTACTAATCTATAGAGAAGCCTCTGGGAACCCCTATAAGATTAGGCCCCTAATATAGTCCACCACCAGTTGACTTATTTATAAAACTTCTAAAAAGGTTACAGGAATATATTGTCTCAAATAGTATATAATTAGAAGTTATAATCCCTATTCCATGATGATATCTTTAAGTTTTAACATATCTTAAATTTAAACTATAATTTTTGTAAAAAAAAAAGCATCTTAACAAAAAAATGAAAAATATAAATAAATAAAAAAAATGACTTTAATTTAAAAATCTGATATTTAATCATTGATTTTTATCCACCCTGAGCAGTGCCGTTCGTATCTACTCTACCAGTTTACTAATTCCAGGTAATTAAGCATTGTAGATCACTACTGGAAATATACCACAGGACTGTCACTAACACAACAATGTCTTATCATAAAAACAATATAACAGCTTATAATGGCCAAGCTAACAGTTACACATTCACCAAAAGGGTAAAAGAACAGACCAAACTAGTTTATTCTCAATCACTGTCTAATCTATTTGAATCATGGTTGGCACCTGAAATGCTGATGCATGATGCAGTCAGAGAACAGTTTTCTATCCAGAAAATACTGTTGCTTCTCTTTGCATTATATCCTAATATTGATCAAGAATAATATTACTGAATTGCTCTTAACAAGAGTTTCAATACACAAGGCCAGAATTTAAAAAACTGGGAGTCAAAAAGTCATGCTCCTGAAGCACTATCTAAGGAACTTAAAGCAAGCCACCTGCTCTACAAAGGTGCTGACCAGTTCAGATAGGTTAGGAGCCTCACTTCAACACTCAGGTTTGAAAATTTTATCCGGAGACAATTTCTGTTTATTCCAGTCCTCTCCACTGTTTTTTTTCTATCTACATTGAAAAGACTATTTAGTAAGATGCATATATCAAATGCTCAAAAAGTGTTCAAAATTGCACGAGCAATTAGATGCTTTGTAATATTGCATTACCAATCTACCTATGTTCTCTAGGACAGGACAGTTAAACTGGTGGCCAGCGGGCCACATGAGACCCACAAGGGATTAGTACCATGGTCCCCAGGCTGCCAACCAGCCACTTCTCTCCCCCTCACTCTTCCCTGCCTTTTCTGGCTTCCACTTCCCACCCCTACTGAAGGGTGGCACAGTACCAGGGGAGCCTGAGCTGAGGATGAGGCTTGGAAACCCATGTGCACAATGCAATGCATTGGAGGGCAGGGGGTGGGGAGGCATGTGGCCCCTGGCTCCTGCTGGTGCACCCCCAGACACTTAGAAGCTGGACAGCTGTGCTCTAGGGGAAAAGCAGCTGAACAGCAAAAGCCAAAAGTTTCCCGGGGGGGTGGGGATCAGAAAAGTATTCTTAGCTTGGTGCCTAGAAGTGAGAAGTCCTGCACTTAGGACAGCAAAATCCCATGAACTCATAGAAGCTGGGGGCCGACTGGCTATGCAGCTGCTCTGCAGAAAAGGACAGGGGGTTACAGTGGACAGTAACATGAATGTGAGCCAACTGTTTCTTTGTTGCAAAGAAGGCTAACGGCATACCAGGCAGCATTGGTAGAAGCACTGCTAGAAGATTGAGGGAAGTGTTTCTTCCACTCAATTCAACACTTGGTGAGGCCACACTGGAGTGCAGTTTCCAGTTCTGGGGCCCCCATTGCAGAAAGGATGTGGACAAATTGGAGGGAGTCCAGAAGGCAATGATGATGGTTTAGGGGCTGGGGCACATGACTTCCAAGGAAAGACCGAGGGAACTGGGCTTATTTATTCTGGAGAAGGGAAGATTGAGGAGGTAAGCCTTCAACTACTGGAAAGGAGGTTCAAAAGAGGATGGAGCTAAACCAGGGGTTGTCAAAGTTTTTATGCCGCGGCCCAGCAAACCATGGCCCAGCTGTCACAGCCGACCGCAGCTGGAATTTCCGGGCAGCAGACAGGTAAGAATACCCCCCCCCC